TACACAACCTCTTAAATTTCCAGTTCTTGTTTTACTTTTTTCGGTCTGCTGTTAGTTGGGATGGGAAAATTGTGGTGCATGGTATGTCCACCTAATTCCTAGATAGTCAGCCTCCTCATCGAACCTAGTTAGGAACCACCCCCCTGCTCCTCAGCCTGTTAGCTACGCAGGGAGGGTTACATACTGCTAAACCAGTTCTTGATGGATGACAAGCACTCTAACAATGAAGCTAAAAAATGGAACTCGGAGTCATTAAAAGGGCAATAAATTTGAACATCATCAGCATAAAGATGATAAGACACCTTCTTAAAATGTCGAATTATCTGACCAAGAGGATAGATATATAACAGAAATAAAAGTGGACCCAAGACTGACCCCTGTGGAACACTACATGACAAACCAGCCACATGTGACGTAACATTATTTATAGCGACATTAAAAGTTTGATCGCTAAGATACGAAGAGAACCACTGGAGGACAGATCCAGAGAACCCTAGTTCAGACTGAAACCGACCTATCAAGATTCCATGATTGACAGTGTCAAAAGCAGATGTTAAATCTAATAAAACCAGGACTGTATAGCGACCGGAGTCCGTGGCCATCCTTATGTCACTTGAGACTTTAAGTAAAGCGGTCTCAGTGGAATGTCACTTCTGAAAACCTGACTGAAATTCATCAAACAGTTTATTCTGCTCTATAAAAGTAATTAGCTGTCCTGCTACCGCTTTTTCCAAGACCTTTGCCATAAAAGGGAGTTTTGATATTGGCCTATAAATCTTTGGCTCAGAATGATCAAGACCTGGTTTTTTAAGAATTGGATTTACAATCGCATGTTTAAAATAGCCAGGGACAGATCCAGTCGCAAGTGAGAGATTCATTAATTTCACAATCCAGGGACCAATCAAATCAAACAAACTTAAAATCAAAGATGTAGGTAAAATATCGACAGGGCTAGCGGATGGCTTAATCTTTTTTATTAAAATCTTCATATCCGGAAAGGTAACCAGAGAGAAAGATGACCAAAAACATACAGGTGGGGTCACATTGATTCGACTCTTCGAGGTAGGAATCATACTCGCCCTAATGTCCTGCACTTTATCTATAAAAAAGTTTAAGAACACATTGCAATCCTGTCCTGTGTGCACAGCATTCATTCATCCAAGGACAGGGTTTTTTTTTTATGACAAACAGAATATTGTCTAACCGGTGCAACATAATTTAAAATATCCAAACAATGGCTGTTAAAACAGCTCATAAATGTTTCAGTATCCTTACAGTTGGAAAAGGAACTTGGGTCAAACAACTGCAAAAATCCATCAAGTGCAGCATGATTAATGACACATTTTTGAGCCAATAATTTGTGGACAGGCGGCACAATATTGCCTGACAAGTTAAATAGCACACAACAATGATCACTCATATGAATATCCTCAACCCTTAGGCCAAACGAAAAGACTAAATCCAACGTGTGGCTTTTTTTGTGGGTAGGACCAGAAACATGCTGTTTAAAATTAAAAGACTCCATAAGAACTAAAAACTTCGCTGCCACACAGCAGGAAGAGTCATCAACATGTAAATTAAAATCCCCAAGAATTAAAACACTCTGAAATTTGATGGTAGATGATAAAAAATCAGCGAACTCCTCAAAAAACAAACATGCAGAGCCGGGAGGTCGGTAGATCAAAATATGATAAAACAAGTCAATATATCCAACCTTACTCATTTGGAGCTCAAATAACAATTTCATGTTATTAAGAAAAATGGTGATCATAAGCCTCTTGGTTGCAACATGGGTATCCATTTCCATCCGCTAGGAAACATCATAGAAGCAATGTCATAAGCTTCTATATGTGTCAGTTGACATAGTATGGTTAACATTTACTACGATTGTGTTTAAAAAGAGTTAGATGCGATGTTGAGGAAGTTTATTTATAGTTATGTATAAACCAGCTGATACTATGTGTTTGAATATGTGTGTGTGTTGTAGTGTACTACTATTAATAGTGCTAGTATTCATTAAGCATAACTGACACTAAATGTTTATTGTATTGTTTTGGCGTGTGTGTGTTACTGTAGCTGAATGCGTGCTACGTTTTCAGGTGTCCAGTCTGGCGGTACTGTCCAGAACCAGTAGAGGAGTGCAGGAGGTAACTAATGTCACTCTTTCTCTCTGTTGCTGTGTGTGTGTATTCATGTTTGTTTTCACTTTCTGTTATGTTGTCTTCTTCTGTAGAACCTGTGGATTTGTCTGACCTGCAGGCACATCAGCTGTGGCCGCTATGTCAGCCGGCATGCCTACAAAGCAGAGAGAAACATCAGAACTCTTCATGGAAATTATGTCTGCGGTGATAATATCACAGTATGAAAACTAATAGACGAAGTATCATGTGTTCAGTCCGGATCAAAGCACGGAGGATTCTGTCTAGTTTGACCCAGATCTGGTTGTACAGCCAGTGTGTTTTGTACCTGTTCTGTTCTGGGATGTCATGAGCAGCTAGAGAGGTGTTTCACTTGACGACATTGGACCTAATTGTAAATAACATAAGACTCCAATACCTTCTCCCTGAAGGCAGGAGTCTGAAGTGGGAGTGTGAGGGGTGGGAGGTGTCATCAGCAATACTGTTGAATGTTGAAGCTTTTTAAAATAAAAAGGTAAATGTGAGAAGTTGGACTTGAAATGTACTTTTCTTAAATGTTGTAGTACTGCAACAAATATTTGAAAAGTCTTCAACTGTTTTGATCAGTAACTAAAGGGAAAATGCAGCATCGGAAGAAATACTCAAATTTTTATTCAAGCAGTGATAGAAAGTAACTAGATGTGAAACAGATATATTGTACAGGCCAGTTGGGCTCGGGAGTTCTTTTTCATCTTCCATCTGCCTGCGAGCAGGTGGGAGGTGCAAGATGCCCGAGCGTGTCATGTTAATTTTTACCTCTGTTCATGGAATAAATCAGCACTGTTTTGTAGTTACTTGTACTGCCTCGTCTCTCAGAGTCCGTATGGTAAAAAGAACCGGAAACAACAATACAAATGTACTTCTAAAGATTTTAATGCCTGAGTTTATCTTGTGGTGGAATTACTACTTTTTACATGTAAAAAGATATTAGGTCGTTATTCCCACCACTGTAATTAAGTAAAAAAATAGCTGTACCACAATGTACTAGTCTGTTCGGAAACAGATGGGTGGGTGCACTCAGAAATCCAAGCTTCGGAAGTTGAAAAGTTGGTGACTTCCATACCCGAAGCGCATTACTTCAAAAGGAAATGGTGAAACTATCTATCAAACTATAACTCAGTTGTCCATATTGAACAGTAATGCTGTCATATTAAATAGAATATGAACAAAAAGTCAATAATAATGTCTTAATCACATAACACATTCATTTGTAAATATAAAGATATTTTTCCTTTCTCATACTGGGTTGAAAGCCACCCTCATTAATCCAAAATATAGTCCTTCTCCAAACAGAAAAATTGGTGTTTGGCAATGTCAGTTTGAGTCAATATAAAACTGTAAATGTATTTTTTTAAAATGTGAATACGGATTTGATTTCGGTACGGGAACTCATCATTGACGGCAGGGCTGTCAAAGTGATGATGTCTCGCACTCATCAAAGTCAGTCAAAAGTTGCCTGGAAACAAACTGGTATGTAACCTACATTACTGTGGTTTTAGTAAAATTTCCTTTATAGTTTGTTCTTAAAAGCCCCGCAAAGTTTCAAAATAAATATATAAATAAATTGAAGACAAATATTTGAATATTTATATATGATAAATAGATGAATGTCCCTTACGTTAGCTTAGCTAAGTTATGGGACGTTAGCTTAGTGGGTCGCTATCTTATGGGAAAAAGTACAAAGTAATGTAAAACAAGGATAATATCATTTGTCATGAATACAAAGTTCACATCATTTCTGAGCGGGAAAACCTGTGATTTCATGATTTTAGATTTGCTGAATAACCGGTCCCAAAAAAAATAAGGATGAATCAACCGGGAAGAACCCAAGAGGAAACTGATTTTCTTTGGGCTTTCAACTGTTGTTGTCCAAAACAAGATGGAGACATCTTGAATTTTAAGAACTTGCACTGGGTATTTTCACTGCTGACTGACAGTTTACAGACCAAACAATTCATCCTCAGTAATGAAAACGGTAATTGGTCGAAAAATTGGTCGAAATCTCGTATGTCATCTGTGCCATTGTGCTGTTTTATTCTTGCATTGATCTTGTTTATTTTATTTTAGTTATTGCGATCTCATTCTGTCCATGTAAAGTACTTTGGTCAACAGGGTTTTGTGTTTATCCTTCTACCCCCAGTGAGTCAACAAGAGGAGATAGAAGGGGGGACTGGGAGGCAACCGAATATAGGTGCCCCACAGCCAGATTGCTGGCTGGCCCAGGTGAGTGCGTTTATGAATAAAGGCTGACTGGACGCCTTTGACAAACTGTTAGCTTAACCAGTCAGTGCACACCTCCCATAGGTGTGAGGTGTGCCAAAGGGACGGTGAGTCCGTTTATGAATTCAGGCTGACTGGAGGCCTTTGACAATCTGTTAGCTTAAAACCTAAAAGGAACTAATGAGGAATAAATATTTTGATGCTCCAAGTGTCCATTGCAATGTTACATATTGCATTTTAGGTACTGACACAATGGCATAATGCACAATATAAGGTTACTGTGTGTATATTGTCTTCTTAAACCCATGTTTAAGAAGCAGAGTTACATCCTCTGAAGTAAGGCTTTTAGTCTGTAATTTCTAATTGTATTTTCAGACAGTAGTTGATAACACATGACTTACAATACTGTTTTTTGCAGTGCCATTTTTTTTACTCATTAATGGCATCTTGCTATAAGGCTTTGCCTTATGAATGTTTTTGAGCTGTCATGTGTTTTTATCACAAAGTCTGGCATAGAAATCAGCCTTACAATACCCGTGTATCTGCAATAAACGGCTTCGACCAGCCTTTGAATTCAGGGTTTGATTCCTACTCCTTTCTGTTTTTTTCAGCATACAGTTTAGATTGAGACAGCTAGCTAGCTAGCTAGCTAGATGTTTAGCTTATGTCACGGAGACGCACACACAGTGGACGAGGTGAGTAAGTGACTGAGGCTGTGAGTCAAATGTAGTAATTTATTTTAGTGTGACAGAGAAGAAACTTTTACATTTACAACAAGCTCTGTAAGCCAGGGCGGGATCAGCGGCGGCTTTGCGCATGCGCGATTCATTTGCAGCCTGGACGCGGAGCGGTGTGGATCTCCTCTCTGCTCTGACTGCAGCTGGGACTGGTGCGAGAGGCTACGGTGAGAATAAGTGTCTGTGAGACCTTTGGGACGGGGTAGGGGCTCATTTTGGAAAGTCGCCAGATTTAGCGAGAAAGTCGCCAAGTTGGCAATACTGCCGTCAGTCCCCGCGCTAGCCTACAGCGTTACCCAGTGGCCGGTGTGTGTTTATCGTTGGTGGCACAGCTTTTCGG